ATCAGCGGAAGATATTCAGGAACATAAAGACCGTACAACTCAACCACTTCGCCTACTTGCTATTCGGTATGTACCTGAGCCTAAGTCGTACAAAGCAGCCATGAAGTCTTGCTACGCTAGACAATGGCGTATTGCTGCTGAGGCTTCATCCTAAAGTCTTCGTAGCAAGAGTAGAGCTGGCTGCGAGCCTTGATAGGGTACGCAAACATGTAGCGCGTAACGTCATTAATAAAGACAACAGAGTAGCGACAGCCACTGAGGCTAAGAACGGGGAGTGGCCCACTGATGTCAGAATGGACTTTTTGCAAAGGTTGTGAAGCACGTTCAACACGTTTATTAGAAGGAAATGCAGCGCGGTGTGACTTCGCGTAGGTACATGCAGAGCAAAAGAAACTGTCTTTGGAAACTACGGTGTTAGTGTCGAGTCCGTGGAGTGCTTGGTCTTTAGTAACTGCCTGCAAGACACGAATGTTAGGATGACCAAGACTTAACAAGAGCATAATAGCAGTGTGTTTACCTGGGGTGGCCACGTGAGCTTCTTGCTTCTGGACCGGAGTGGCCTTGAACTGGTATAGCTTCGCTGTAGATGACTTCTTCGCCTTGACATTGAAACGTTGGTTGGTTTACACCGTGCACACAGTTCGCTGGAACGTAAAGCGGAAGTCATGTTCTACGGCTGCAGCAACCGATAGAAGGTTGTAGTGCAGTTGGGGTGCATAAAGCCCATCACGTAGTCTTAGCTGGCGTTGACCCTTTTGGAATCATAACCTGAAGCACAACGTCACTGGTGCCTTCAATGGGGATCTCGGACTGACCACCAACCGTGACGGTTCTAGTAGCAGCGGTCTTGGAAACGAACCACTCGGCATGTTGAGTGACATGGCTGGTGCACCCGGAGTCAACAGTCCAGTTTGAGTGGAGGCTTGAGCCGTAAGGCTGATGGCCGGCGGCATGGGCTTGACTACCGTGGCGACGGCGATGCGAGCGTCTTCACGACGAGACTGGTCGTTGCCACCTTCTTTACGGCGAGAAGACTGGCGTCCCTTGCTGGTATTGTCTCGGTTGTTGCCGCCACGTCGGCCGTTGTTCCGACCTCGCCCGCCTTTCTGCCAAGACCCGCGGCCACGCCCCGAATTGCTGTTACGTCGTTCGTAGGGGTGGAACCGGTTGGAGTTACCGCCGCGAAACTCAAAGTTCGCAGGCATGACGGTCACGGCCTTGACAGTGCCATCTCGCAGGTCTTTCTGTAGGCTGCGGCATTGGCGAATGTCGTGGCGAGGCTTCTGGCAGTAGCTGCACACCTGCTCAGAAGACACGGGATATGCCGGAGCTTGGGCTGGAGCAGTGAGAGCTCGCTCGCCCTTAGTAGTGCGGCTCTCGGGGGTACCCTTCGCCAGAGTGTAGCGCGTCTCGGCCTCCATTTTGCGGATCTTGTCCTCGATGCTCGTCTTGAGCTCGTCATACGGATGTACTTCCGGTTTCCTTTCCAAATACGCAGGTCGTCCTTCCAGGACGCTGGCATAGAGTGGAACAGGTAGACAGACTTCTGGCCGTCTGTGAGGACCGGTTCGGTCGCCTTGGACGCGGCTCTCATCGCGTTTTCTAGAACGAGGAAGAACTCGTTCACACCACTGCCTTCCTCGTACTTGGTCTCCAAGAGGAAGTGCAGGATGTAGTACGGGTCGCGATGGAATGCGGCACCCTCGTACTTCTTGCTGATGGCTTGGAAAATGTCATAGGCCGTGGTGAGGTTCTTGACCAGACGAATGTGTGTGTCGTCCATCGTCTTTATCAGGAACGACTTGGTCTCTGCCTCAGTGCGACGAAGACGGCGGGACGACAGTGGCACGCGCTTCTCCTTCTTGACTCCGCGCTGCACCTTACGCTGCGAGAACGAGCGAATTGGAGACTGTGCCTTGGGCTTCTTGCTGGTCTTGGCATCTTCTTCACTACCGGATTCTTCTTCTTCTTCAGAGGTTGGCTCGTAGTTGACGGATTCGGAGTTGTATTCGACTGGAGGCGAGGTCTTGGGTGCATCCTCGGTATCGGACCTCTCGCTGTCGGACGAGTCTTCGTCATCTTCGTCGCTGCTTAACCCGTCGTAGTCCTTCTTCGTGACGAAACCGAGTAGGTGCTTGCCACCAAGCGATGCAGTCACTCGGGTCTTTTACACGTCGTAATTCCTTGAGCCGGAAAGTCGAGGGAAGTCGTCACTTGAGGTTTGGCTGGGACCCACGACCTGTTGAGAGACACGCTTGACACTTGAAGAAGGACACGTGGGAAAAGGTTTGAAACGAAAGGGAAAACGAAAAGTGAGATTGGTATTAGTGGGAACGATAAGGTATTATCCTATTGTTTGTATCTGGTAGTCTAATACAC